CGGAGGGGCGGACCAAGTGCCCTGGGGCACCGCCCCTGCGCCGCGGAGCCCGGGTTCGCGCACCCCTGGCCTCTCCCTGGCGCCAGCGTTGGAGGCGTGCTGCACTTCACAGGTAGCGGCTCACAGGTAGCCGCGGTTCGGGTGGATGCTCTGCCCGACGTGACTGCACCGGTGAATCATTTACCGCGCCTGCCGCGTCGGCTCCTGCCCCGAGTGATTTTCCACATTGACTCAGCAGGCTCACAGAACACCTACCCCGGGCCTCGGTCACGGCCTCCGGTTCCCCCGGAGCGTGTTAACGACCGCTTCTGGTCACCTGTGCAAAGCCAAGACGCAGCCGGATGCTGTGAGAGGATGAGGAGGGACAGATTACTTCCGCTTGGGCGCGCGTAGGAGTTCCTGAAAGAAGGGGCGTTTGTGTTAAACCTGGAAGGTAGAAAAAGAAGTCCTAAGAGGAAAACGAGAGGGCATATAGACAAAGGGGATCGGGGGAGGGGAACGACACGAGAAATTACCAGTTCAAATCACCATTCTTTATAGACTCCTAACTCTGAAATATATCAGATGGTGTCAATTTAGGGATCCCTGAGACTTTTTTTTAATGGCTCAAGTGGTCTTTTTTCTTCCCTCAACGTTTAAGACTCAACAGTATGGTCCTTAGGGCTACTGGTGCGTGAGTGTGAGTGCATACATGAGGGCAAGCAACCCCAGGCCTGCGCGCTCAGAGCTTCCTCACAGGATAATTTTTTTGCAGCTTTCTGGCACCTTATGGTAAGGCAGATCGTGCCACCTGCTGTGATCAGCCTGCCAGCCTCTAGAACACCATCTTCCTCCGCTCAGCTTTCTATTTTTAAAGGCTTTTGGTGAAAGCAGCACTGATAATTTTAAGTAAACAGGTTTTGGGAGGGAATGAATCACCTTTCACACATGAATTGTGTAAATATTTTTGCATGCTCAAGGAGGCTCACTTGTTGCAGGGTCTTGACTATGTTCTGACCATCTTAAGATACTCAGAATGTAGATGAGCTATTTAGTTGATCCTCTTACCATTTATTGTGCACCTTCTATGGGAAAAGCATTAAGAAGGTTAAAAAAAAGGTAAAAACAATCACTCTGTTGGAGGAAAGAGGTGTAGGTACTTAGGGTAAAGCTGTAGAAGCCAAGCATGGTGTCTCAAATGCCTGGAATCCAAGCACTGAGGGGCTGAGGCAGGAGGATCACCCTGAGTGTTACAGCCATGGCTGCAGAGTGAGAAGGGAAGAAGGTGGGGGGAGGGGGGAGGGAGGAAAGAGGGAGAAGTTTGTTGCGTACACTTGTATTAGCATAGTATCGTCTCCCGAGTTTCATCACCTCACATATTCAGAAAACTTCTCAAAAATATGTGTTCCACCCATTCTCCCTCTTTACGCCAAAATTATCAACTTGTTTTTCCTACTTGTCTTTTTCCTATATAATCTATACGTGTTCAACCTTTTCCTGTCCTAACAATACACACATAACATAGACACACGCACAGAGAAAGAATAGCTAACTGGGAGGCCAGATATAGCTGCACAAGACTTTAATCCCACCACTTGAAGGCAGAGGCAGGCGAATCTGTGTGAGACTGAGGCCAGCCTGGTCTATGTAGTCAGTCCAGGTCAGCTAGGGCTATAAGGAGACCCTGTCTTAAGAAAAAAAAAAAAAAAAAAAGCTAACAGCCAATTGATACCAAAGCTCTTGTGGAAAATCAACATTCAAAAATATCTAATAGGGGTTGGGGATTTAACTCAGTGGTAGAGCACTTGCCTAGCAAGCGCAAGGCCCTGGGTTTGGTCCTCAGTTGGGGGGGTGGGGCACAAAATAACAAAAAGCCCAAAAAAAAAAAAACCAAGGCAACAAAAATAGCTAATGGAACAATACTCATCTACCAGGCAAGATTAGTCAACATTCTGGCTGACAACACTAATTGACTAAGTAAGTTACAAAATAAAATAAAGGAGAGGAGCTGGGCGTGGTGGCACATACCTTGGATGCCAGCACTCATGAGCCAGAGGCAAGCAGATTTGAGTTCAAGGCCATCCAGGGCTGCATAATAAGACCCTGTCTCAAAAAAAAAAAAAAAAAAGACATGTTGGGGATTTCCCAGGGAAAAAGGAACAAGAGATGGCTCAGCGGTTAAGGACACTGACTGCTCTTGCAGAGGACTGGGGTTTGATTCCCAGCACCCCCATGGCAGCTATGAACTGTCCTTAACTCCAGTTCCAGGGGAATCTGAAGCCCTCTTCTGACCTCCACGACATTGCATGACATGGGTGCACTCACATACATGCAGGCAATACACTCATACACATAAAATTTTTAAAAAATAAAATATTTTTTTAAAAAGGATACATTGTATACATGAAAAAAGGTGTCAAAGAATAAAGGTATTCTAAAAAATATATATCTAATTGAGCCAGGCATGTTGACACACCCCTATAATCCCAGCATTTGGGGGTGAAGGCAGGAGGATCAGGAGTTCAAGGCCAGTCTTAGCTGCACAGCAAGTTTGAAACCATCTGTCTCAAAAACAAATAACAAAAGGGCAGCTGATAAATCAGGCATAGTGGTGTACACTTAGAATCCTAGCACTTGATACATTACCTTAAGTGGGGAAAAAAGAGGGCTGGGGCTATTGCTCAGTTGGTACAGAGTTTGCCTAGTTCATAGGAAACCCTGTGTTCCAGCCCAAACATGAAATAAACTGGGATGGTATGTTGGTACACATCTGTAATCCCAGCACTCAGGAGATGGAGGCAGAAGTTCAAAGTCATCCTGAGCTACTCAAAAAGTTCAGGGTCAACCTAGGATATATAAGACACTGTGTGTGTGTGTGTGTGTGTGTGTCGGGTGGGGGGGATATATCTAATAAAATACAGAAAAAGAAGGTATGAGACTAGCTCTAGCAAGAGTTAAAGAATGCATAAAACCTCTTGAATGAAACTGTGGTTCTGATACATAAATACACAAACCAGTGGAACCAAATGCCAGTGCAGAAATCTACTCACTGCAGGTAGGAATCCAATAGGTGATAGTGAAGTGACTGAGTCAAAGACAACCTTCAAAGCCAATGGTACTAGGTCAACTACATATCCAAACCACTGGTGAGGTTCGGGGAAAACACATATTGTGGAAGAGAATGAAAACTAGCATGTCCCTTTGAAGAAGCACTTGGCAAAATATGTTGAAAGGATGTGTACATCCATCTTTCAACTTAGCACTGGAACTTCTAGAAATTTACCTCAAATATACCTACAAAAATTCACAGGCATGCCTACAAGGATAAACTTCTTTATTGTCCAAGTATTACTTGAAGTTTAAAAATATTAGAAATTATCCAAGTGCCAAATATAGAAGATTGGTTGAATAACTATGACACCAACAATGGACTACTGGGAAGGAATATAAAGGAAGAATTGAGAAGTTCATGTATATGTCTTTGTTAACTGATATGGACTCATTTCTGGAATGTATTAAGCTACAAAAAGTACAGAAGCAAATGTATAAGAAGTTAGCTTTTATGCCTTTTGTGTAAAAAAGACAAAAAATAAGAATGCCTAATGGACTTGCTTATTTTAGTAAAGAGACCCACAGGAACAGTAAACCAAGAAACAAATCAGTTATGTACAAAGAATTGGTTAAGGAGATGGGAAGATTAGAAGAGAAAGGGGCAGACTTGGGTTCATGTTCTGATAAACTTGGAAGCATGTTACTGTACTCTACATTAAGAAATCAAATTAAATCCAAGAGGATAGGGAAAATTGAAAACCTGCTACTGAAAGCAAACAAATGAACTCAGTTATGTGTCAAACAAACCTAGCCAGAGTATAGGAAGTAGATCAAGACACTTTAGATCCAGTACATTGATGTGCCTCAGTCTAATGTAGATGATTAACTTGGGTGTGGGGGAGAATTAATACAAGGGAAAGAAGAAATACAATGACCAATAAAATGTACATATATATATATATATTTTTTTTTTTTTTTTTTAATGTGTATGAGTGTAGTGCCTGCATGTATGTAAGTGCACCCATGTGGTGCTGTGTCCTCAGAGGACAGGAGAGGGCATGGAATCCCCTAGAACTGGAATTACAGACGGTTAGCCCCCATGTGGGTTCTGGGATTCAAACCCAGGTCTTCTGCAAGAACAGCCAGTACTCTTAGCTGCTGAACCACTCTACAGCCCCTAAAACGTATTTTTAAGTGAATATCTTTACTAATATTTGTTAATTTAATTAGCAACATTTTTGAAACTTAATATTCAATGTTAATTTTTTGAAAAAAAAAATGTGAACTAAAAGTTTGGTGTGATATTGGGGATGGAGCTCATGATTTCCTACATGGTAGGCAAGCTCTCTAACCCTGAGCTATACTCCAGACCTTTTTAATTTTATTTTGAGTCAGTCTTGCTAAGTTGCCCAGGCTGGCCTTGAACTTGGTCTGGAGTTCAAGGATCCCACTGATACTGCACAAAGAATACTCAAAGAAAGCAAAAGTAACTCTGTGAGGCAGTTTTTACATTTACAGAAGGGTGCATTGTCTAATTTGGGTAGCAGACTAGCACACCAAGCAGGAAGTTTGTTAGGTTTTCGTCCTAATGCAAGAGTACTGTGTCATTTCCCTATTGGATGGGCTCTGGCCTCACAATCTTTCCAGGTTGGCTAGTTTTAAAAGAATCAGTGCAAAGGAAATGAAGGAAAGATGGGGAATAGATCCTCAGTTTGGGGCCTTAGTTCAAGCAGGAAATGCCTTTGTGTAAACAAAAGTTTTACATGGCATAGGGGGATTACAAATTAGCATTACAAAGGCTAGATTCCAGTGATTTTTTTTTTTTTTTTCCTGTCTTTTTGAGA